AATCGATTTTATAGATAACCATATTCATAGGACCAAAGGGACTTACCAGCTCAGTTCACGTCTTCTTCTGTTCTCTGAAGAAATCTCGCGGAGGACACACACTTTTATACTCGCGCGACATCTGTCGGGATCGCGACCCCATCTAAATGTCAGGGTCATTCCAACCTCTTAAAAGGATCGGAATGAAAGAAACACTTTGATAAAAATATATTTATGAAAAGATATCTGAGGGTCGTGAGAACATTTTCTCTCCCCACCCCCCGCCTATTTCAAAAAAAAATAAAAAGTCTTTCTTGGATCGCGTCAAGATTACAAAACAACTCACAGGACTTGTTTATCTCGATCTCGTCAGGGTCACCGTTTCACATAAGAAGATGGATGGACCCTGAACTTTAGACATGATAAAAATTAACTCTACCCGCCTTTTGTCTGGGAATAGGGTCTCACCGTTTCTAAAAATAGACCAGATCCCATTCTTGGAATTCTATTCTTTAGGAAAGGAGGAGTGATGGTCTATTTTTAGAAAGTGTGAGACAACATTCCCAGACAAAAGGGGGGGTAGAGTTAATTTTTATCATGTCTAAGACATGATAAAAATTAACAAAAAGTTTTTTTTTTTTTTTTTTTTTTTTTTTTTTAAGGCTGAAAAATTTTTCTGAGAGAGCTGAGAAAGATTTTTCCTCCTCCCAATCTTTTTCGACGATGAAAAGGGAAAAACTACTGATCCGATCTCCCTACGCTTTAGGGAAAAAAACAAAAAACTTATGAAATATTCATGTGTTGAAATTGGCTATTCAAATAAGTGACATTTTGTTTCTCATTGGAACTGTTCAACGGCGAGTCCACTCGTCTCATTCTTTGGGGTAGGGGATGAAAGTACAGCGGTTTGTTGAAATCGATGATAGTTTCCTCTTTAGTCGTCGGCGGAACTGTAAATCTATCCCGTCTTAACTCTTCTAATCTCTTTGAAAGTCTTTCCACTTGCTCTGCTAAGGTTTCCTCGGTACTCATGATCTCTCTTAGTTTAGGGAAGTCTTGACGTATTGGCTAGAGAACAGAGGGTTTTTTTTCTCTCTATACATATATCATGTGGGAGCGTGTGATTTATAAATCCTTGTGAAATCTTTCTACGTCTTGTGTAACTTGGAAGATTCGTCTTGTGTAACTTGGAAAATTCTTCTTCTTCTCGTCGATTGGGGTGGAGTTATGGAAAAGAAATGGGATTGGAAAGAAATCAACATATTACAAAAAAAAGGAACTTTTTTTTTATATTTTTTTCTCTAGGGATTTACATACCATTTCATTCATGAACATTCAAGGGTTCTCTCCAAGACCAAATTTTAGAAGAGGACCACAAAGAGTACACTTGAGGATCCTCTTTCAGGTCTAGGTGAGATAAGGGTTGAGACCAATATTCTTGGGTCTCTAAAGCATCCCAACTTAGACATTTATTATTATTAGAAAGTTCATCCTCCTCCTCCTCCTCCTCATCGTCGCACGAGTTCTCCTGGGGAGATTCTTCCGCCTCCTCTTCGTCTTCGACAGCTTTGCTCTCGGAGGGGTAACAATGTAATTTCCGGAAAACGTAACTACCCTCCATCAAATGGTATCGAAAATTTCTCACCTTGTTCTCGGCACAATGAATCATCTTTTGGAAATATTGGTGTCGCGTGCATTTCGACTTGTTCCGCCACTCGGTTTTCCCTGGGATGTAAAACTCGTAAACGGATCGCTGGCAGAGCTTGCTGAAAAATTCGGCTTTATCGTATCCATTGACGTAGATCACCTCCCTCCACATTTTCGGTCAGTATTTTCAGGATCGTAGGAAGATGCTCGTAGGAAAGACGACCCTCGGTCCATTGCAGGCCGTGTCGGTTATTTGTAGTCTGGTTGACCACAGCTTGATTGCGGGACGATAAGTCATCGTAATGGACAGGAGGGAGAAAAAATCATGGATCCGCATAAGGTTAAATCGCAAGTGATGTAGCCCAGTTCTTTCAGATGAACATTTTCAATTATTGGTGCGACCACAACGAAATGAAGGAAAAAGATATCTTTTTACGGAGACGGGGTTTTTAGGGGTACAATCGGAACCGGTGGAAATATCAACTCTTATTGATCGCCATTGAGACTAGGATTTTTTGAAGCAGAGAAAGAAAAATGAGCAACGCCTTCGCCGGGAATCGAACCACGGATCTCTGGAATACGCGCCCAGCGTGCATACCACCAGACCACGAAGGCATGCCAAGAACGCGAGAGAAATACCTTATAGACTTTTCCTCGGAGAATATTGTTAAGGCATTACGTTACTGGTTATTAATATTTTTACTTTAATACTGTTGTAAAAGGAATTTTACTTTTAATTTTTACTTTCATAAAATTTTCGTCAATTTTAAATTCAACTTAGCATTTTAAGTTGACTTTGACCTTTCTCGTTTAAATATTTTGGGATTCCTACACTTAAAAAATTAGACAATTTTGCGATTTCTACGATTATGATTTCTCCAAATGTCTTTCTTAATAACTTGTGCATTCTATCACTTCGTTTTCCAAGATACTAATTTTAAAATTTAAAACCTTTCTTCTTCTTTTTTTTTAAATGACTTTTAATCTATGAATTTTTTAGGTAATTTCATTCGAGTTACGTCAAGTAAATTATATCTTGATGCCTGAATTCAAGTGAGAGTAGGTTTTTTAATATTAATTTTAAAAAATTTTAAATTCCTTAAAAATATTTAAATCCTGTCTTAATATATTTTGATTTAATTATTTTAAATTTAAGGAACCGTTTAATTATTTTTGCAGTTCATCCAGATATAATTCAGAATCGTGACTCTTTTCATAATTCTTTCGGTTGCTTTCTGATAAAGAGCAAACAATTATCAACTATTATTTAACATTATGTAAAGTTTGTTTAATTTTGTATTTCCCTTTTCTTTTCAAACTTAGTTATTCAGTTGTCTTTAACCTATATCTTCTTATTAGAAAATTTGCTACGTTCTATTTATATATAATATTTTAAGAATTAAATTTCGTTCTTAAGACCAAAATTTATGATCTAATTACTGTTTAAGACAATTAACATTTAAGGTATAGTTTAAAGCAAAAATTCGTTCAGCAAAAATCAGAAAACTTATCTTTCTTTATTGTGAATACAAGTCATACACTATCTGGCCAAAAATACCTGGATACAACACTAAAGAAGTGGCTCCTGGCAGGTGATGAAATTCGATGAGGAACTGAACGAAGTGTTGGTAGTGGTTTGCCAGGTTATATTTATGTGCTTGTGAGACAGTAAGTAAGTCAAACGAACTTAATGATTATGATCGTGGCAGTATATTAGGATGCCACCTTTGTGTGAAATCAATTCGTGAAATTGCTGACATTCTATAGAAGCCAAAATACACTATGGGTGATGTAATTGTGAAGTGGAAACGTCGAGGCAGCGAAACTGCAGATAATCGAAGAGGCAGATCGAAAACAATTAGTGAACTCAGCCGTAGAACTATGAAAAGGGTAGTGAAACAAAATCGCATGCCCTCGTTGGTTAAAGCTACTCAGGAGTTCCGAAGCTCATCTGACGTTAGTGTTAGCAGCAGGACTGTTCGTGGAGAGTTAAACTGGGATTCCATGGTCGCGCAGCCGCTCATAAGCTGAACATCACTCCCCAGAATGCGAAGCGTCGATTGCAGTGGTCTCTCTTTACAATCTGGCAGTCTGATGGACACGTTTGAGTACGGCGGATGCCCTCTTAAGTAACTGCGTTGTACGACTGTAACGTTTGGCGGTGGCAACATCACGATGTTGAAGTATTTTTCACTGTTTGTCCTCGGTCTCTTAGCTTCTGTGGATGGAAAACATGAACTCTCAGACGCATGTGTACATTCTGGGCAATGTTGCTCTCCTAACTCTATGCTGATAATTCGGAGAGAACCCATTTCTCTTCCAGCCGGATAACTGCTCCCTTCACACATCGAGACTTGCGCAGGCACGGTTTGACGAAATGGGTGTTCAAAAAATGGAGTGGCCTTTTCACAACCCCGATCTAAATACCACAGAACAGTTTTGGGATGAATTAGAACGCAGATTAGTTAGCCAGCTAAACCTCGACCATCCTCACTGCCAATACTAGCTCCATTTGTGATGGACGCCTGGAAGTCAGTTCCTATGGCGACCTGGTGGGAAGTCTCCCCCAGACGTGTGCAGGCTTATCATCGATGCAAATCGAAGACCAACATAATATTAATACATGCCTCAGGACTCACCGAGCAAATACTACTGGGTTGTCAGGATACTTTTGGCCTAATAGTGTATTAATATTACCTTCCTAAATTACAACTTATTGTGCAAATATTTTTAACGGTAAAAATGGAAAAGAAAGGGGGATATAAAATTAAAACTCTATAGATTAATTACTTGTTAATAGTAGACAATTAATAACATAAATACTTAAAATTGTTTAATACTATTGTTAATTAATAGCTGAGAAATGAAAGTATTATTTTTAAAGTGCATTTTTATATTATAATTATGCATCTTAAATTTAATTAAATTAAGTTTAAGTAATTGAATTTCCTTAATAAAAAATATGTATTCTTTAATTATTTAGCGAGAATATGTTAATAGTTTTTTTATAAATATCTATAAATATATATATATATATATATATATATATATATTATTTTTTTTTTCCAGAATAAGAAATTTAAACCTCAAAAATGTAGTTTCAACTAAAAGAAAAAGGAAAATGTAGTTCTAAGTAATGCATTTATTCAACTCCTCTTTCATAAGAACATCATTTTTCCTTTAGTCTGATTTTTTTTTTTTACGATTTTTGTTTCCTAACAGAAAAGCATGCTTTAATGATATATACATGTCAAAACAACACGCATTCTGAGGTACAAGTTTTTAATCAAGGTTTCGACATAATTTTGAGAATGTCTTATACTCGGCAACCACGTACGTTTCCTCTCAGAAAAGATAATTCTTCATAACAGATGATGACTATTTCATTTCATAGTTTTGGTGTGTTACTTTTATGCTGTTGCCTCGGAGCTGCAAATTATATGCTTCTATTTCAGTGCATTGCATGTGGTAAGTTTATATATTTATTACAATTAATATGAAACTTGATGAATTAATAACAATTCTTTCTCAAAACTCATTACGTATCCAGTACTCATATATGTATGCACATAATATGTTATAATTTAGAGAGCAGTTCAATGTAAAACATATTGCTGCAAATAACATTTAATTCTTAATATGCTTACGCATCAGGTGACATATGCACAAGATATACAATCGATGGGAAAGCTCCTTATTTCGATGTCAAGTATAGTGTAGGTAAACTACTGTAACTGAAAAGTTACTCTTTAATTTGGTAGGATGTTTTCATCTAACTATATTTAAGTTATGACTGCGGGAAATACTGACATTTCTAATATTTAATTATGTACTAATTTTTTACAAGTAACAATTATTGCAATTTAGAAGGAATAGATTTTGCCATTTACAGTTTATTAAAACGCTAAAAAGGTTCGGACTATAAATACACTCAAATGAATTTATTTTTGCATATTATGGTAATATATTTGATATTTAAGAACTTATGAAAACTTGATAACTGATACTTCTGCATATCCATTAACGTTTAAAGATGGTAATAAAGTAAAAACTTGATCCTTAGCTATCGGATTCTAAATTGTCAGTATATTGACCAACTATTCATGAATGTCGAAGCCTAAACAAGACTTTCACTTCTAGTACAAAACAACTATAAAAAAAACTTTCACTTCCAACACAATTATTAGATCTAACGAGCAACTAAAGTTAATACTGACATTTACTTTATCGAAGTAGATATTGAAAACATTCGGAACAATGTATAATTATATCCATGAGTGGGATTCATTAATTATGCATAATATTAAGGGATGATTAATTACATCCCTTTACATAATGCATAATCAATAAAAGTGCTTACGTGTTACTTTTACTTGAACAAAGTGCTTTATCTCCTCATTAAAGTTCATTCGGATTCTTGAGTCGTATTCCGTATATATAGTATATAGCACCATTGAGCAGACTTCTGACCTAAGATTATCTAAAAGATTACCAAGCGGAATAGTGCCTGATCAGTGAAAGTCGACTACCAGCTCAGTCATAGCCTCATTTGGCCAGGGCAGATCAGACAGGCATTAATTTAACATAATCAAGTTACAGAGTCACAATCCAAAAATAATTACATTGTCATTTTTACTTGAAGCAACTAAAAAAACATTCAGATACTATAAGCTTAATACAATAGGAAAATTAACAGTTGTGAAGAAGAAACAAAGTAATAATGATCTTGATCTAGTGCAAAATTAAGGCTACAAAATCTTGTGATTAGAAATTTACTTGTACAAAAGCAAGCTAAATACAGTTACTACTCCAACTTTCGGCATTATATATTTAACAACATTATGAATTCAATTACAAACCAATGATATACCGTATATTTGATACTTAGATTGCGAATTCTCACAGTTACATAATTTGTACTATTACATATAAGAAATGCTGTTATAGAAATCTTTATACTCTATTACTATGTTGCGCAGTTCAATAAGTTACCAAAAAAGAGGGGAAGGTGATGCACAGTTACATAGGTATTATGAAAAATAGTTAACACTGTCGGTCACAGAAAACAAAAGAACCCTACAATTTATATACGAGTAATATAATACAGAGTATTTCAGACGTAAATGTGGAAGTATGTAATTACATAGATAAAACGGTGACGCATATAATTCGCAGTTAAGTAGGCAGTTGCATAGATAATACACAGTCATATTTTCAGTAAATAAAAGTCGATTTCTACTATTGGCACACCAAGAATGAAAAACAATACTTATCAGCATAATAGCCTGCAACCTTAAGAATCGAATGTTGTTATAACATACATAATAACATGGATTATACAGTTAACATAGATAAGTTCTGTAAGTAGAACACTGTGACATATGAAGTTCGCTATTATATGAATATGCAAGAGTTTCTGTAGGAACATAGTTTCTTGCAGTAATTTACGAGAGAACTTTGTATTGTGCCACAAATAATAATGTCATTTTCATCAATGTGTGGCAACATTAGAAAGGCATATGTGAAATATAGCATAAAACTAACACTATGAAGAAATAAATAAAAGTTGGAGAGGGGGATGCACTTATAGGGGTGACAATTTTGCCAACATTTATTAAGCAACCTTGCGAGGTATAAGGTTTTGAGCCGTATCAGTTCACATATGATTGTAATGATATTCAAAGGTTTGAAAGCAAACAGGTTCTTGCCTATAAATAGATACACTGTGCATATGGTTACGCTTTGGCATGTCTATCCCCCAGAGTTCAAAGAGTTTCTCAAAAGAAATGCATTTCATGGGATAAGTAGATGTCAATATGGAAAAGTTGAGTAGATCTGGTCAGTTTAAGATTTTATTTAGTCATAAGAAATTTATCTGAGAAAATCTTAGTTCTTAAAATTGTGGAATTCTAAGAAATGAAACATTTTCGAAACACCACTGTATAATTTTGGTCAACTTTTTTAATGCTATTGGTTGTCTTACTAAATTGTTGGTCCATTCCTTCCAGAACGTGTCCGCTGGTCTGTTTAAATGGAAAGCTTACGTCAAGAGGCAGTTGAAAATATAATGATCAGAACTTCCTGTTGCTCCACACTTGCATTGCTCATTGTTAAAAAGGCCAAATCTGAAGAGATAACTTTGGTCCATGCCCTGTTAAAAATGTTGTGAGTGCCGAGGAGCTGGAAAGGAAGTTGGTTGAGACCTTTGACACAAATTTATGCGTTCTTCTACCTGTGTTAGCAGTATTCCACCTGAGTTGCCACTGTTGAGAAAGCTGCATACTAGTTAATTTCTTGAGATATGAGCCCGGTAGAGAATTCAGGCAGATTCGTACCCATTGCCGCCTCTTTAGCCGTAGCATCAGCAAGTTCATTTCCAAAAATGCTTGTATGTGCAGGCACCCAGCAAAGTATTGGTCGAGTTGTGGAGTCAAGATTAAGAAACATTTTGTGTACGTTATGCCACCATTGGGCTTCTGCTTCTAAATCCTGCAATTGCTTTAAGGCCAGAGAGAGAATCACTGTAGATAAACACAGGACTCTGAAGACGATGTGTAAGATTAATTGCTTTTAAAATTGCGAGTAATTCCGCCTGAAACACAGAATTATTTTTATTCAGTCGTCATCTTCGCCATTGGCGTTGAGTATTATTGTTCTTAAAATGCACAATCCACTGCCCGTCCATCTATCCATACTGGACCCATCTGTGAATATTGAAAAGTGATTAGTAACTAGACTGGCTACTTGGTAAGTTGTATGATTCCGAAGGTCCATGGCAGAGGGGTGTAAAGCAGGTGATAAGATTTTTGATTCAAAGTTTGTTGCAAAATACTCTTGATTCCACAGGGTCCGATTCTACCCAAGACGCAAGGCACCGCACAGAGTTGATTCTCTCTGTACTACAAGATCAGTCGTATTCAGTAGCAAAAACGGGCTCTCTAGCGGCTGAGCGGTAAAATAGCTGAATACTGGTAATTCCCCACCTGGGTAATTCAGGCGAAAGGGCTGGCGGCATGGGCGTTTCGTAGTTTTCCGCAACGTGTAACTGTATATTGACCAGTTTCACCACGAAGGCATCCCTCATATCAGGCAGATAGCCCTAGCGAGCTTTGCCATAATAAACTAAACTGAACGACAAGAAAAGTGAATAGGTTATCTGGTAAAAGAGTTTTTAATTTAATTTCACTAGTATTTTAGTAAAAGTTAAATAGATTTTTTTTTGTTTCATTTACAAAAGCTAAGACAGAACTATAAAGCCTACAACCGTCTTTACATTTACATTTTTATCATTGTATTTCTTAGCTTATTTTGTTTAATATTTCAAAAACCATCATCCCGTATTATTGTCATGAATGCTGTTTCCAGGCGAATAAGTTCCCTTAAAATGATTTTTGCTTGGAGTTTCATGATCTTGCTTTCCTTCTCCCGTTCTTTCATATGCTTAAAGACTTTGAGATTGGTTTTGAAATGTTTATTTAGATTTGTATACTCCTATTCTCTAGCTGACAGCATTACTATAAAAAGAGTTCCGACAGACAGATTTTCGGAAGTACAGAACTGTTCTAAAGTGTTCTACCAACAATTGTAAAATATTAAAGAATGAGCTATTTACAATATTTGGTGCCGCTAGAGCCACTAAAATAAGTAGGCAATGTATGACCACATAAAATATTAGCGGATTGGTCTAATTCATTCTACTTTGAAAGGTAGAATAAATGCCAGACACATTAGCAACATGGTCATGTAAATGACCATGCACGCTCTGAATGCGTAGAAAAAAGTTTAAAAAAACAAAATCAGCTATTTCCTTTTCAGAGTAACAATATTTATTTATATAGAAATTTTAAAAACCATTATTCAGAACTGCTTTCTTCATTTACGTATCTTAAGATAAAAATCATTGTTTGTCATCATTACTCATGATAGCGGGGGGAGAATGTACATTAATGAAAAGTACTCTGCATGTTTCGTTTTTTGAAGAATGGAATCAATAACGGATTTCGTTATAAATTAAAGGAAGTGTTCAGGGGTAGCGGAGGACACATAAAGAATCTTACCTTGTTCAAAATTTCCGCACAGATCTAAGATAATAAAAAGAATTCTACTACAGATTCTACGTTGATCATAAAATTCCCTTTAGTTATGTAACCAAGCATCTTGTTTTCACCTCTAAAGTGAAATCACATGACGAGAATTGTTAAAATACAGTTATGATTCTCCAATAAACATTCCTTCAGTACTAAAACTTTTTCCTATGTTTGCCCCTAGTTACTGCTTATCAATTGATTACCAGTGCAAATCTTCGCTTTTTCAAAAGCATTCACAGTCTTATTTTCAAAGCAGTCATAGTCCAAAAATCACAGTAACAGTCACAATTTCAAAAGCAGTCACAGTCACAATTTCAAAAGCACAGTCTCACTATCCTCCCACCGCGGCGTAATGAATATACTGTCGTTTGCATCATGTATGGTATTGTAAATCTTCGGAGAGGGGGCGGGAACTCGTTTTAGAGGAATGTTATGCCGGCGTGTTTCAAGCAGTTAAAATAATTGGCCAAATGGAAAATATGGACTCCTTATCGTCATTTTCCTTTAATGGCAATTAAGTCAAGGAATCGTTTAGTTCCGCCAGCGAATTTCTTTTCGAAAACGGTGTCACAATATTGCCGTTTAATAACAGCTACTATGCTCTTGAATTGCTATCCTGATGTACTAGCTTTATATCTCCCACCATTTCTTCTTACTTTGGTCGCACCAGTGGTCAAGTGGTCAAGGCCGCTGAATACTGGTAGTTCGACAAGTTTGGGTTCATTCCCAAGCGAACGGATAGGTGCATCTTTTTGTGGTTTTTCCCATGCGTAACGTTAATACAATTCAGTTTACCTCAAAAAGTCTTCCACGAAAGCGTCCCTCTCTTAGGTAGGTAGATAGTCCTTGTGGCTTTGCTGTATTCAGATAAAACAACCTAAATCTTCTTATTTCAAAATTTAATTTGTTACTATTATGAGCCCAGGCCTATGCATTCTTTGCCCAAGTTGAGCTGAATATATTTAATAAAACTAAACTAAAGAAAGCATACTTCACGTGACTGACGACAAGCATGTTCAGAAGTGATGTGTCAAAGCATTCTACAGTTTGTGGAAGCGGTCTGCAGTTACGTCCCCTGCAGGAGAAAACAAAATGATGATGACGACAATGCAATCGTAGTGTAATAGGTTAATGGTCCGTGTATGTTATCCAGTAAAAGTGCATAAGAAGTAGACACGAAGTGCAAATATCCTGGATTTGCTGTAAGTTTACATCCGGATAAACTCATTGCAGAGTCAAAAATATCCGAAATGGAAAATGTATTAATCGTACATCTAACCTGCTAATCGTAGTTTAACTAGCCTACCTTTGTGCTGAAAAGATTTGCATTAGCTGTTCATTAGCGGAAGTAGGTATAATATTTAAAATATTATATTTCCTAAATTATGATATGCATTCTCATGTTGTTAGTGCTCGCCCCACGCGGTGCTTGGTGTAACATTCACTAAAGAGATTTCTATTCAGATAATACAGTGTGTACCACATTTCTCATATCACAAATCTACACTCAATCTCATATCAAAAATCTACACTCGGTCATAGATCTACACTTGACCATAGATCTACACTCAACCTCGTATCATAGATCTACACTCAATCTCGTATCATAGATCTACACTCATTCAATGTGTGTGATCTGCACATACAACTGATGCGGCGAACATTATATGCGATGAATGCGTTCATAAAAGGTTTTATATCATTTATCTCTACCTTTAAGGACACATATATATAAAAATTAGCGACTGTAGCCCGATGCAGTTCATTCCATCCTTTTCTCCCAGTAAATGGCGTAGCTATTTTGAATAGCTCACTTTAAATATAATCATGAATTTCTTCATATTAACTGTTAACTACTTAGGTTTTCGTATCTGTTTAACCTTAAATTGTTTCAACTTATAACATCAAATATTTGAATCTGCGAGATCTGAATATTAGAATCTGAATACGTAGATCAGATTCTAATTCTTTTCAATCAATTTTATGGGTTTTATATTTTTTAATCAATAACTCTTTTTGAAGTGTTTGATTGCAATCTATTTCCAAAAGAGCAGTAAATAATCAGTTTCCTTTTTTTACCTTTTTCTTGCATCCCCTTTTTTTTTTCCATATGTATGGTCTAACGTCTAGCAACCGTTTGTAGTTTAGAACTGTAATGCACGGCTAATTCTGCTTTTTTACATCTCATACACATTTTCATTTGAAACAATCATCTTTCAGTAGAAAAAATTAAAAATAAGTTAAAAAGTTCATGATGAAAAACTAAATTAACTATATTTTATCTAAAGCTTTACGTTCTCTTTCATAGATTCTCAAAACTGGCAACCATATTCTGAATGTCATAGAAAGTTACCAGAGAGGGTAAGTAGAAAGCGGTAAATTAAGTATTATAATTGTTAGTAACACAAAATTACATTAGAAATTAGTAGTAATAAAACAACTGATTCCTTTGGGTCTTTCTTTCGCCCACCAGCGGCCGAGCGGTAATGTCCCTGAGCACCGGCAGTTCAGATCTGGGTTCGATTCCAGGCAAACGGACTGGCTGGCTGCATGGGCGTTTTTGTGGTTTTTCCCCACTTGTAATGTGTGTACGAGCCAGCTTCCATCAGAAAGTTCTCCACGAAGGCATCATTTCCCTTAGGCAGATTGCCTTTGCGTATTTTGACTTAATTAAAAAAAAAAAAAAAAAAAAAAAAAAAAAAAAAAAAAACACCTTTGAGTCTTTCAGCCCGCCTGCGGCTGAGCGGTAAAGTCGCTGGGGTATGGGGGTTTCGAATCCCGCCGAATGAACTGGCTGCATGGGTGCTTTCGTGGTTTTTCCCGGGTGTAATGCGTACACGAGCCAGTTTCCTTTAAAACGTCCTCCATAAAGGCATCTCTCCTATTAGGCAGATAGCCTTCGAGTGTTTTGCTGTAATGAAATACAGTGGAACCTCGAGATACGAGCACCTCTATATACGAGAAATTCGAAATACCAGGAAAGTATGAGCGAAAACTTTGTCTCTAAATACGAGCATTGACTCGAGTAATGAGCCAGGCTGTTGGTATGCGTTGCGCCATTTCCCGATCCGGCTCGACTCGGGAAATCCCCTCATCAGATCACTCAATGTCTTTGATCTACGTGTGGCTTTTTACGTGTTTGTGCGCTTGTGAGTTAATTGCTTATTACATTTAACATGAAAATAATTATTTCTTGATGCTTCCCAAGAAAGCTGTTGCTTCAGAGGAAGACTGTTGCTGTAATGTATGTCAAATATACGTCAAAATTATGTATACATCAAAATCAAAATTTTTATTATAATATACAATTTTAAATAAACGTGGTCCCACTGAGTGAGCAATAAAGCTGAAAGTCTTCATGGCGGCACAGCTGCTCACCCAGTGGTCTCCTGTCTCCTGTTTCTTCAGATAATGCTGCAAAGAAAAATAAGGACGCTATGGCCGTTGAAATTAAGAAAGAAAGGATAGATAAACATAAGCGTGAGTGATGAAATTGGTGAAGACTTACGGCCGTCCCACATCGACGATCTGCAGTATTCTGAAGGAGAAGGAAGAGACTAAGAAACTTGATGTGGCCGAAGGAGCTTATCGTTACTTCCAAGCACCGTCCAAAACTCCGAGTAGCTGTTGAGAAGCTGTTGTTGGTGTGGATTGACGAGAAGTATTAAAGGTTGGTGTCGGAAGCTATCATAAAAGTAAACTACGGGTTACCAGCATTTATTTATTAGAAAAATTGATTTTTATGTTGGTGTTTTGGGGGTGCGGAATGGATTAACTGGCTTTCCATTATTTTTAGTGGGGAAGTATGTTTCTAGATACGAGAAATTCGCTATACGAACTCAATGCTGGAATGAATTAAACTCATATCTCGAGGTTTCACCGTAAACCAAACTTTTAAGTCTTTTGATCCCAGACATTATAATTATCTTATCTGAAGTTCGGGATTTAACAGCTAAAAATCCCCCTTATCTCGTAATGAGCTTCGTACTTCGTGCGACTTGCGGTTTCTTCTTAATCACATTGAAGAAAATCCTTTCGAGCCATTAAATGTTCCAGCCCTTCTCGCGTTAAAAAGATGGTGTTGCTGCCAAGAAAAACACATAAGTTCTTTAATTTGTTCCATTGTTTTAAAACTGAATTTCTCAATGCAGTATCGTTATTCATTAAACAAATAATTTTACATGGACTAATAATGGACTTCTTAAAAACATTTTGCATAAAAGGACAGGTAAAGTTGATTCTAAAGATAGTATGACTGAATAGGAAAATATGACTTTGTTTCTAATTCAACAGATAAATTATCCACCTTTGCAAATGCTAAGAACGGAAATAATAATTTCCCCGTTATTAATAACTTTTTATAAAGATAAGATTTTAGAAGAGAGGGTTTATCAATTAATTGTTTCCAATGAGAAACGAAAAAAAAATTTTGGAGTTACGTCATTCTAGTATATGGAAAGCTCACCTTCGATACAAGAAGATTACCGAACTATTGAAACATTTCTTATAGTGCCCTGGAATTGAAAAATATGTGAATGAATATTGCAATACTTGTAGTTTCCAGCAACTTGAAGCTAAAAAGCTTCCTGTTAATGGAGTTCTTATTACGTCACTCCTACATCCCTCCACACAATAGCGAACTATTCCAAATAATAAATATGGATATATAAGGGGTGTTGAAATGAAATGCACGAAACCAAACAACCAAACCAGTTGAAATGTGAATATGCCGCTTTTAGATAACTTAATGGGACATCTAGGGATGCGAATGTAGTGTCCTGCGTGGTTGTGCGCATGCGTGGGGCGCAGGAGAGAAGTAGGCAGTTGTTTGTTCCGTCCAACTAATGCGGCAGTGCATGTGAGGGGATCATGGCGTTAACGTTGCAAAATTCGACAACTGAGTAGCAGCGAGGGGAACCAGCCAATATTAATCGCCGGATGGTGGACGTATATGGGACAGACTATGCGTACGACAAGTCGGTGAGAAAGTGAAATGCCTGTTTTCATGAAGGTTGGGAATGTTTTGAGTGATGACCCGAGATCAGCCCAGGCAAATACGGTAATCACGGCTGAACTCATCGACAAGGTGAACGGCCTGATGAAAAATGATCGGCGTGTTATAATGCGAATATTTGCAGTGGGGCCGGCGTTAAAACAGTGTGGACAGTTGTGCACGACAGTTTGGGTTACCGAAAAGTGTGCATGCAGTGGGTTTTGAAGAAGCTCAGCGAACCGCAAAAGGAGCTACGTATGGGGCTAGCACTGCAACATCTGTCCCGATACCATGGAGACCTTGCTTTCCTGGAGCGATCGTAGTCGGTGATGAGAGCTGGTGCCGTCACTTTGAGCCAGAGATAAAGAAGGACAGCATACAGCGTCATCTTCCGCTATAAAATTCAAAGCTGTGCCCTTAGCAGGCAAGGTGAGGCTCACCAACTTTATCGACTTCTGAGGTCCGATACTGATCGAATTCCTCGCACACGGGAAAAAAAAAAAAAAAACAGTAGCGGGTATTCGGACGACGATCTGAAAGACGTAATGGAAGTTTGGCTCTTTTCGCAGCCACAGGAATTCTGGGAATTGAGAATCTTTCGGCTCGTGCAACAGTGGGATAGTTGATATTATGCCTGTGGTGATTACTTTTGAATAAAGACTTCAGTTATATCCATAGTGTCATTTCGTACTTTTTCATTTGAACACTCCTTATAATCGGTCTAGTGGAACCAAGTTGTCGAAGTTACAAATGCGTGATATGTGCTGTTGCCCAATACAAGACATGATCAGAGGCAGTATCATTGAAGAATCTTAACGCTGAATCAACATGTGGTGGATTGTTGCAGATATTTACACGCTCTGGAATTCCTAGGTCTGTTACATCAAACCAAGGAAATAATTTGTAATGCCCGAACGCCACTTATGAGTTTCTGAAAATTCTAAAAAGCACAGTTCCCATTTTACTTTGCCAATACTATCAGAAACTTTTCTCAGAAACAGATAACTTTTTTTTTTATTTACCAGTTTAACGGGTAGTTCTTCCTCCCCTCCCCATTTTGCATTAAATCTGTTTAATGTACGGTACAAAATTAATCGAAAATGCCGACTTACATTTCGAATTCAACTAAGATAGGACATACGCAACAATAATGTGGCACTATGTTGTCAAACGAATACAAGCAAGAGTCTCTCAGAAAGCCTACCACGAAGACATCTCTCCTCATAGGCAATTAGCCCACGTGGTTTCGCCATATTCAAGTAATCAAACCCGCTCAAAGCAGGACGTTTGGCAAACCTTGAAGGTAATCTAGGTGTAATTGCAAACTTCTACACATATTACAATTTCCAACTTTGTTCAAAAAGTAATAATATTTTTTAAACAGTTTGATATTTTCCAGTTTTAATATTTTAAGATAAAAATATATATATATATATATTATATATCAGAAATAAAAGAGTTTTAAAAGCAAATTCTTTTTGATTTGAGTTTTAATTTTACTTAACTGTACAGACTAGTTTTGTAAACTGACAATGTAGATATCATGTTTATTTACCCCAATTTTCAGTAACGCCCAAGGGCGATCCTAATGTTTAATGTTAATTTTGTATATGTGTTATGCAAATTGTTGCTCAGATTTTTATTGTATATTTCTTTTTCCTCCTGATTGCTTTTGTTTTTACTAGTGGCATAAGGCGTCGCCTTTCGTATTTTGTTTCTCCTGTTTTGTACAGTATTCTCTGTGAAATAGTTGTTTAAAAAATAGGAATTAGTATGGATTAGTTAATTAGGTACTTAAGGAAAAAAAATTTGTATTTAACTTAGCAATTATGATTTAACTCTTGCTCATTTAATTATTTAGCACATTCTGTTATATTTCTCATAATTCGAAAAATTGAAGTTATTTTTCAGTTTTTATTTCACTGTAATTCGATGAGGGGTAGGGCTATGGCGCCCAGGCACCCTGGTGGTTAAGCACCGCAGTTCAACATGTTTATTTTAAACAAGTAATATAAAAAAAAAATTCCTACTTAGGTCAACAAAGAAAATGTTTAAAAATTAAAAAAAAAATAATATGTGAAAAACTGTATTAACATCAAGTGTCATACACTACAAGTTTTAAAAAAAATGTATTTAAACTTGTAGTGTATGACACTTGATGTTAATACAGTTTTTTCACATATTAATTTTTTTTAATTTAATAATGAAATGACGAATAAAAAGTATTTTATTAATGACTGAAAATTTGAACATAGGGAGAGTGTGAGCTAATAGTAGGAATTTAAAAAGAAGCAATGTGTTTTTCATACTTTTAAAGGTAAATTCTTTTTGAAGTTCTTAGATTGAAATCTGAAATTTTCAATTATTT